CATCGCTATTAGTAGCTAGTTTGCTACCAGGAGCAAGAAGCTACTAGTAACAAGAGACTGCGGCAATGAGGCACTACATTGCAGGTGACAAGAAGCTCTCTAAGAGGTGGTGGGCACCTTTGGAGTGTGATGAGTACAAGGCAAGCGCGGGGATCATGCAGTGCTGCTAGTGCCATGGGAAAGCAAGAGGTGAGCATCAATGAAAAGATGTAGGTAAGCGCTTGCCCACAACAGCATCAAAAGCCCGCTTCCGGACTGGTGCCAAGAATGCTGAGATCTTCGTTTGTCCAATTCCATAAGGAGGACACCGAAACTGGAGGGATTCGAAAACTTTGACTTGTCCAGGGCCACTGGGCCGGTGCCACGGCGCCCGCGTGTGAGCAGAGAAATAAAAACCTGGACAGACACAAGAGCCTCAGTGGATGCACAAAAGGCATCGAAACCCCGCCAACGAAAGTTAGCTCCCACCAGGTCAGAGACCAATCTCCACAGCAGGGCTCCAGTGGGGTGGTGAATAATTCTTTTTCGCCAGGAAGCCGTGAAGAACATCCTCGAGAACATCGAGTCGGGCGTGATCCCCGAGAAGGAGGGTTCAGCAATGATCAAGAGGCGACGATTTTGGCGGTGATGCGTGCTCCGAAGTGAGATCAAATTGGCTCATGAGATGGTTTTCATATGGTTTCATGGCATTTGCTCCTGGGCTAGCCAAAAAGCTTAAAAACGAAGAAGCTTGGCTGGTAGGTGCTGGTAGGGTCACTGAGAACAAGCAGTTTGGGTTACGTTGGCCATGCCCCATCCCCCCTTTGCTTTGGAATGGGATCAGTGACATCATGCGACATCAGCGGTTCTGCCAGACGTGGAGGCGAGTCAATGCGCTGAAGAACATCAACATCATGACTGACCTCAAGTGGAAGGCATGAGAACCCATCCACGCACCAAGATCGCTTCCTTCTTTTGGCATTGGGTAGCCGATGTTTAATATCGGCCATAATTTTCATGTAGTAGACCTCAGTTCTATGATGAACTGTTCCACTTTGTTCCATTTTATCATTTAATCCGTCCCCAAACGAAGCGGTCCGCAGCCGTCGTTCACCAGCTCTGGTGGATTCTTCGAAGCGGATCAGGTTCTGGCGACGAAGCGCCGGGAACGTGTGGAAGATCGACAGGCCATTGAGAACTCCACAGGAATGTCCCTCTCACAGATGAGCTTTATCCATTTGCCTGCGATCAAGTGGGTTGAAGGGGACTCTTTTCGACAGCACGGCGCAGGATGCCAGAGGGGAGGAAAGGAAACCGAAAGGGACAACTGACAAGAGGCTTTATTTATGGTTCATTTGTGGTTGTATTTCTACGTGCCCCCCAATCGCATCAAAATGAGGACGAGGGACCTTTCAAAAACCCAGACATGGAAGGATCATATACCGTGTGCGTCAGCCATCTCAAATAGTTCTCGGGGTTTTGAAATGTACAACATGCAGTCAGGGCTTTATAGTCCATTATATAGTCATATATCAATAATATCATCATGAATCATGTCATATAATAACGTGCCATATCATATCACCTCTTTCTTCTTCTCTTTGATGGTGTCTGGATGGACGCTCCGTCGATGCACTCAGCCACCCAGGAACAGTGGGACATCCAGAAACATCACACATACGCGCCGATCCCGTGGCAGACGGGTCGCTGCCGTGACGAGATCGCCACTCCAGAACTGGAGACCATCGCCAAGCTCTTGCAGCGCTCCGGGAGGCCAAGAAGTCTACTTGGATACCTTGGCATAACACATAACAACATACCTCCAAGACGCTGCAAGCAGCTTCACAGGTTGCACTTCCTGCCCAGATCAGATTCCAAGACTTTCTCAGTTCAGATATTTTAAACGGTCACGCTTCAAGCACTCAAAATGGCATAGGTTTCAGCTAGAGCAAACCAGTTCATTCATGCCCTGGTTGTACCTATCCCATTCAGGCGGCAAGTCCTTTGGCAGATCGCGGAGATTGCTGCTATGCTCTCCGGACCAAAGATGATCCAACTACTGGAGGTGGGTCAACCCGTCGTCCCCCCTTGGACAGTTGATGATCCAGATCAGATCATTCAGACTGTTGTTTACCAGGTGGTGGTCACTTGCTTCATGGTTTGCAGGGAGTCTAGATTGTAAATAGATTCTTTGATGCTGCGCATGTGGCGTTGGTGATGTTGTGCCCGAAAGGTGTTGTGGTAATTCATCTGAGAATGATGTGACATGCCGTGAATGTTCCCCCCGCCTGTAGGCGAGCATCGCGCTTCTGGATGCACGTTTCGAAGGAATGGCGAGAACTGTTGGAAGGCACTACCCATATTTGAACTCCGCTCTCACCAAGAGCCTTGGATGATCTTGGATATATACCTAGGACCTATAGGATGCCTGAACTGATTCTGGATGAAGCAAACAAACACACCACACACCACAGGTAACTGTCTTCATCATGTCTTCACCATTATCTTCATATGTCTTCAACTGGTCGTGTCATTCTCCCCCAAGATTTTCTGTTTATTCTGAGGAATGAGTCTCAGAAGAGCAGCAGCGATGTCCTGACGCCCTTGGTAGAGCTCCTGCTGTTGGATGACTCCACGCGAGATGCGTGCGTTGCCAAGCTCATGGAACGAGAAGACTGTGAATTCTTCCTCCTATTCGGTGCCAGCTTTGGGCGACATCTTAGTAACCTATCTGCAAGTATGACACTGCCGACACGGTGGCCCACGCCTCGTTGTCAGTCCTGGGCCTGATGGATGTTGGTCACGTCTCAGGTACTGCTCGGCAAGAGTGGCTTCACAAGTGCCTTTGCAAGCTGAAAGCACCTACTGAGACTGATGTGGATGCCTGGGCTGCCAATAGGATAGGTCAGCTTCGTTGGTCTGGGGCATAGGGGCCCTCAAGGGTTGATTGAGCACCTAGATGTCAATAGGGACTGGTTGATGACCCAGATGTTCAAAAGTCCAGTGATCATGGATGATCGTGCGTTTGTCGTGCTTTTCCATTAGAGCTTTGGATTTGAGAAGTTCAATGTGCAGTCGTTGCCTGTTTGGCCACCCTTTGGGTTTCATTTGTTTCTTGTGAACAGTAAACTCAGTAAACTTAGGAGTTCTACCACTACCGCAAGCGTGGGCCGATGCTGAGCCAGATCGCCCGCTATGGCAAGGGTGATCCAGGATGGAGGGATGCTTTAAAGACGGTGCCTTGGCTGCGATGTTTGTTCCTCCTCTTCTCTGCTCCGTTGGCCGAGCCGTTTCACCCAGCTGCGAGTAGTTGGCAAAAACACGGACGACACCGTGTCGCCGTGTCGCCGTGAATCAGGCCAAGGGGGGCGGTGCAATTGTACCTGTGGCACTCACTCACGCAGACCGAACCTTGGATGGGCACATGATGGTGGGTGTTGTGGATGAGTGCGTTCATAGTTGAGCGTGTCGGCATAGGGGGGCCGGTAAATGTACTGTCCCGGTTGACCCAGTTCACCCGGTTGTTGTTGTAGTCGTGGTGGTGGTGTTTCGTCGGGGTGAACTGCTGAGTTTTGCAATCCTGTTTAATTAATTCATCTAAAGAATTCTGTCACGTTGAGGTTCAAAATAACATTATATCTGTGTTTGTACAGCCGTTCATATGTTTGTATTTCCTCTTGTCAGACTTATATATAAGGTTGAACGTATTTCACGCAGACATGCCAATTCTGAAATGAAATAATCTGAGCTATTTAAATCACGAGAGCCAGATTCATCAGATCGCAAACTTTTTACACAAAGACTCAGTTGAACATTAAACAAAGACAAACATCTACTACAATTTGTTCAAACGTCACCAAACTTAGATGCAGTAAGAAACATGTCGTGGACACGAGCGAGCTATGGCATAGGGAATTGGATGGTTTAAAGATGTTTAAAGAGGGTCGATGCTAACAATGCTGTTGTCGAGACCCGCTTGGTTGTGGACAGGCCCCATGCTCCCCCTTCTTGATACGCCTCAATAGAGCTTTCTTGATTGCAGACACCACAAACTGGCCTGCCACATTGGCCCATGGACCCTCATTGTTTACTGTTCTCTTAGGACAAAAGAAGCTGGCCGCAGTCGCCTGGCCATGCCGGTCAACACTGTGTCCGGACGGTGTCCTCCTGTTATTGTCCTCTTCTTTATTCTTCTTTCTTGTCCTTCTGGTGTGCAGCTTGGCCGCGGCTGCCAGCCGGTCTCCAGACGTTGTTCTCATGTTGTCCTTTTTTTCTCTCTTGTCCTCTTCCTGTGCTCCTGTTGTCCTCTTCTTCTCCTTCTGCTGATGTCCAGCTTGGTCAAGCTTGTGAACCCTATGTCCGCCTGTTGTCGTCTTGTCGTCTTCTTCTTGTTCACCTGTTGTTTCAGCTTCGTGGCTGCTAGCCTGTCTTCAGTCTCTGTCCTTCTGTTCTATTCTTTTTGTCCTCTTCTTGTCCGCCTGTTGTCCTCCTTTTGCCGTGTTCTTCACCTCTTCTTGTCCCCTTTTTGACACCAACTTGGCCGCGGCTGCCTGCCAGTCTCCAGACTGTGTCCTCCCGTTGTCCTTTGTCTTTTCCTTCTCTTGTCCTCTTCTTCTCCTTTTGTTGTTATCTTCTTGTCCTCCTGTTGTCCTCCTTCCGGTGTCCAGATGACAGCGTGGCAGCATGTAGGCATGACACCATGACAGAGTGTGCGCGGGAAGCACCGTCCCCAAGCGCAATCAAAGGGTCCAATGCGAGAAAACCATTGCACACGCGCAAGCCTTGTGTGGCACCTAGGGGGAAGCGCCACCCGGCAAGTTTGAAGACCACAGCACCGCAGCATGGCCACATGGCAGCCTGTCAGCAGGTAAGCATGACAAAATGCAAGCGTGCAGTACAAATCAGTGAGGCACTAGCAAGACAACTCCAGAAAGCAACCCCAGAAGCCGAAGTCCTCTCCTTGTCTTCCTGTTGTCACTGGTTGCAAGTGGCTCCGAAATAGTCACCGGTAACTGTTTGAACAATTGTTTTCAATTATGTGACACACACATATATATATATATATGTATTGATCTATTGTATTTTCAAAGTTGCTTGCCAGGAGTTCTTGAAGAAAGCACTGTGGTCGACCGAACCCGAAGAGTTGACCCTGATCCCGCGCCTGGAATTCGCCGACGGCGTGTCACGCGTCAGTGAGCTCTTGAGCATCTACCCCAAGGAGCAGACCACCAAGGACAGGGTGTTTTTGGATGTCCTTGGGGCACATGTTTTGGGGGGGTGCTGCTTTGGGTGATCTTCTGGTTTGAGAGTCTTGAAGCCTTAGAAGCCGCTACTAGCAGAACATTCATGGGGCTTTGGATATGGTTTCGTGTTTGCTGCTCAGCATGTTGCTTGTCTGTTGCATCGAGCTGGTTCCAGTTTGGCAAGAAGTTCTGAAAGCAGAAATGATGCTCGGGGCACCGGTGCTCAGGACAACAGTTCTGACGTTTGGGGCTGGGAGGTCATTCAGGCGCTTCTTGGGGACCGAAGGGGCCGGGACGGGCGCGTCGGTAAGAGGAGGCGACCCCAGGTCGCCATGTCGCGTTCTCATCGAATTGTGTATCTTTGACCGGGAGAGGAGGTCCTTGAGGGACATTCAAAGACGTTTGAGATCGAGCCACTCACGTATTCTTCCGTAGAGTGTAAATTACAATTACTGAAAAAAACTACTAAGAAACTTTGATGTCAGCAACGATGATCTCAAAATAGTATATCCCCAATGATTCCAAAATGGGTTCAGTTTGGTTGTAGATGTTTGGGTTTCATTTGATTTGGCATTCGTGGAATGGAGCGGAGGCTGCAGGGGCCTTCAGTGACATCAACCAAGAGGTTGAACGGCGCTTTGCGGAGATGTGCCTTGATGCGATTCTCACGAGAAAGGCGATGAAAGACACGAACGGACCACATAAAGAGGATCCATCGGGTACGGTAGATAAGTTCTACAGTAAGGGCCGTGACAAGTTCCAATCCTGACCCACGCCCCAACCCCCACCCCGACGAATTGTTCATGTCCTCTTGTGAAGGCCATCTTGGCCTGATTTGAGGCCAGAGCCAAGCTTCTGCGACAAGGTGGATGATCCTGAGGCTTGGAAATTATTTGTGTATATGTCTGACCGTGATCCTAGGGAGAAGAACAGTCAGGTTGGATTGGGCACGAGTTTTTTCCTCACCGAGGGTGTCATGATTCGTCGCGCGAGTGCCACCGAGGTGGAGACTCTCTTAAGCGCTTTGGGACGCTCAGACAACGCGGCCAGTGCCATGAAGGTCTTGGGTCCCCACGCAGGGAAGGTAAAGCAAGCGAAGGAAGCGGCTCCTGAGCAGCGTCAGTGTGAAGAGCTGGTGGTACAGTGAAGCCAGAATTTTCCAGAACATGCTATTCAACAACGATTCTCGTTGTAATGTGGAAGGCGAGTTCAGTTTCAAACAGGTTTAGCTGGTCCTGGGCCATCCTAGGTCCTTGGTCGATCGCCTTTTGCTTTAGTTTCAGTTTTTCCTTTGGAAATTTCTGAAATTCTAGCAGCCCCAGGTCACAAAGATGATCTCACAGCTCAGCCCACCCCGAGCTCGCGTGGCTTGGCCGTCGTGACCGGATTTGGCTTTTATGGTTTGGGTTTGGGTATGGGTGTGCTATGCCCGCTGCCTTGGACTTAAAAGTTAGGAGGCAGCACAGATCCAGATTTGACCAAAGAGCTGAGTGCTGAGGTGTTGATCCGTCAAGTGATGTTGCCCAAGAAGGCTGGTGTTGGCTTGCAAGTGGCAGGTGGGGGCCCGAGAGGATTCTCGAATATTCCCGAAGTCGCAGGCATTTTGGTGCGACAGGGGTTGCTGCCGAAATGTTCGTCGACCTTTCTTCGGTGGAAAGTCCAAAAGACAGGTCTGAAGAAGATCGTGGACCTGCGCATCCCGGACCCGCTGGGGGCTCAAAGGGTTGCAGAAAGAGCTGGCTGTGTGACCTAACTTATATAATTAGGTTGTTTGATGTTGTGTGCATATGTGCACATTCAGGATGGGGCATCGCATCTCACCTTTGTCAAGTGTTTATCCCTCCGAGTCTGACCATTCTTGAGGCTGGAGCTGTACACTTACGTGTGGCGCAAAGGAGAGTGCCAGAGAGATGTGGCAGGACTGCTTCCATTCGAGAAAGTACTGTAAATGAGATTTTTTTTGAGCTCAAAGTCGTCCCATGTCATCCGAAATTCCGAAATGCTTTATTTTTTGACATTGTATAACACTATACTAACTAATGGAAGTTGCATATCTCTACTTGGGTTCTGTGGCTGGGTGGACTATTGTCTACCAGAGGTATGGTCAACAGGATCATTCTGCCCCGTGATAGGCAGTATCCTCTCCAAAGTCGCGACATCCAGCGAGTTCCGCCCGGAAGATGTTCGCACCTTGACGTGGATAGGTCCGGTGTTTGGATGGTCCATTGGTGTGCAGAGAGCGAAGGGTGAGGAAGAGACTGAGGATCTGAGACTGAGGCTCTGAGCCCAACCGGTAGCCCAGCCCAGTTGAACTGGACCTTCTCCCACACCATTTTGTGTATGAGTTGAGCTGCGTCAAGAACCCTCACGAAAGGAAATTTGATGAGGTTCATATAGGTTGTGGCCAGCGAAAGTGAAAACCCAACGTGCGAAAGCCTCGAGAAAACTTTGCGGAACGTGGCCTGTGGGTTTATTCCCCACAGTGTCGTCACACTAGGGGTTCTTACAGTAGTTGTTAAGGCCCGGTGTTGATCGAGGTGCTCCGTGGGCGCTGGTAAACAGATTTTCCGAGAAGGCTTGGGAGTGCTGGGACTGAGGCATCTACTTCGATTACTTCGACCGCACCGACAACCCAGATGACCAAGCGCACGTGGCGAATACCTTGTTGGACCAGCTCATCGAACAGCCTGAATGGGTCCTGCCTTATCTGCCCAAGGCGAGCTCCGGCAACTGGAGTCTGGCGAGCTATTCGCTTATTCACCAGAAGTCAGTGATTCCGTGGTTCGATTGGTGCCATGAAATCAACATGTCTATTCTGGAGTTTTGGCCGCTTCTGATATCTAACTGGTACCTAACCCATTGCTCAATGCGCAGAAGTTTCGAACGAGAGACGATGTCCCAGGTGGTGTCAAAGCTGGCTATGGTGCCCGGTGCCACTATGAAAGCTGTGCAAGGCTTGACGCATTGCACCTCCAACGTGCCTTGCCTCAGGCATGAGTGAGGGGTGTTGTAGGTTCAACACACGCCCCAGACCACGGCACTTATCTATACCCCAATTCAACCTATGGATGGACTACAGGATGCTTTTTTGGCGGATTGAGAACGAAAGACCTGGAGCCAGGGATATTGTGGCGGCTCATGTTCAGACATCCTCTGGGGAAGGCGTCCACGAGGTGGTGCGCTTACGCGAGGGCCAAATGGGCTCAAGACCCTACATGGAGTAAGGCCTTCTCTTCTTAACTTCCAATGGTGGATGCGATCGATCTTTGAGTCAAGCTGTGAGGTCACCGATGTAGTGGAAGCATTGACGAGGGTATTGCAGGCTTGTCGCTTAGCCACTCGCACCGATCCAAAGATGAACAAGGAGGGGGTTCGAGCTTGTGGAAAGCAACATCTATCTATCTATCTATCTATCCGCATATATCGAAACATGTACCAATGAACATAAGTCTTAAGCATACTGCAGTGTATATATGTTATATATATGTATATATGTTATATTTGTCGATATTATGCACACATAGACCGTCCCTCACGGCTGCTTGATTGTGTCAAGATCGGCTGGAGCAACCACCAACACAAGCAGGTGGGGAGTGGTTCTGTGTGTAGGGTAAGATTGAAAAACCATGAAAGTCCATTCGCCACGCAACAGAGGGGAATTTGCTTCATGTTCAGGTGAGGGGGGAAGCACAAGGTCCATGTTGGAGTTCTGGCTCGACTAGCCTTGCGAAGATGGTGATGTGGTGACAAGTCATTCATGTTGGGTCTCGGCCACTGAGCCCTGGGGATGGGCCCAACATGGAGGAGGGCACGGATGGACGAGTCCTGGCCGACTTGATCAGCCAGCATGCCTTCAGCCACTGCTCTGCATTAATGGCAAAAAGCTCAGTGAGCACAGGATGGAGGATGGGCCGAGCTACAGGGGCACAAGGACAGAACAAGAAGCGTACCTGATTTGGATCGTTCAAGAATTGGGAAATAGAGAGATGCTATTATGTATTGGTACAAACCTTTGGCTGTTTAAACAATTGCTTTCCCAAGTGCCTCCATGTCATGCTGAGCCTGTTGGTATTACAACATCTTACAACATTATCCCCCAGCTTTCCGAGTTCATTTGGATTTTGTTTTGCCAAGTGTCCGGTTGGTTGTAGGCCCCTTCTCTGACATCGTGAACAGCGTTGGGCGGATGTCTGTCGAAGAGTGCACGCCAGAGACCCTGAAGGAATTCCTGGGCGAGGCTTTGCGTGGTCCCGTGTGCGGAAAATCGGTCAGAATTAAACAATCGAAACATGAGAGCAGCCTGAGGAAGGACATATTTCCATCCAGACACAGTCCTGGCAGGTCAAACCATACAGTGGCTTGATAAATATCTAAATGTGGCTTAAGCAACAATATCTTAAATGAGTCGAACCTTCTGCACTCACTTGAACTTGGGTAGGTCAATGTAGAGCTCACATTTTCATGAAATTCACTTACTTCCATATTCTTCCACTCTCACACCACACATCGCCAGCCCGTGTGATTAAGGAGGTCAATCACCAGGATATTCCGCATTCCAATATTTCCAATTTGGTTTATCTATCAATCTCATACATTGCCCTTGGGCCCTTGGGTTGGACGCCATCGCTGCTATCGCTATTAGGTTGGAGGCCATTGCTCTTAGTCATCCGATTCCCAAAAACATTCGCCACTGCAGGTCTTGCGGCGATGGCACGACGAGCAGACCTCCGACAGCAGCTCCGCTCGCGCGTGCCTGACGTGCGCCTTGACGGTCTGGGTGAAGTTGCTCCGGCCTGGCCAGCACGAGGTTTGGGCCGCTGTGCTGAAAGTAGACCATTCGAACTTTGGTGACCTATCCGTGGCCAATCCGATCCGCGAGTGTCCTAGGTCAAAGAGATTGCGGCCATGGAGAGCCGGCTTTTGTCGCAAGGGAACGTGAGCAACCTGGGGCAGTTTGCACAGGTGGGGTCCTTGGCGTGTGCTTTCAGCCTCCTTTCCACATTTGATGAAGCTATATTTATGAAGAGATATGGAGAGTTCTCATCCACTGGTCCATCAACTTTTTGGACCCTGCGCCCACGATGATTGAGAGCGAGTTCAAGATTTGTCAACCAAATCCATCGAGGTTTATTGTAGTCTCCATCGTCACAAGGTTGAGAAGGGAATATAAGATATATAATCTAAGTGTTTTTCGTTGGAGGGTTCTCCTCTTTGGGTTGTTTCTGTGGTGTATGGACCCCTTTGCCGGCATACCATGCAAACACCACACGCCAGGCCTTAGCAGGCTATGCACCTGGCATGGGTCTTTCCCCTGACGAGACCTGCCGGGATATGCCCACGGGGACAGGGGCAGGACTCCAGGTGGACGGACCACTCCTTGCGCCGCCACCCATGGTTCTTTGCAGAAGGTTCATGTTTTTCAGGTATATATCCTGCACTACTTCAGATGGTGACCCCCTCGGCAGTTCGAAGGCTTCCCAGAATGTGGGCTCCAAGCGAGCAATCTCAGCTCAAATGATCTTGTAAACGTTTTCCGCGCACTGAGGAGCCGACATTAAGCTGTGCACAATCAACCTTCTCGCTGCCTACTGCGCACATGCCCAACCACCTTTTTCTTGACAGTCCTATTTGTTTGTTGGCCTTTGACCGTCAGAGTGCACATGGGCTATACTGCTATACTCTAATTATATACTGTATCTCTAAATACTCCTTTGGGGACCTTGGGTGATGCACGTTTCTTTCATCAAGCGCATCAAGCGTGTGTAGCTAGTCAACCTTGACGGACGGGTTCCAACAGCAATGGACACATGCAAGCTGAACCAGAAGGAGTTCAAAGCCAGCAAGAAGCATATATAGATATTATATGAGGAACAGTATGTTCATTTTTTTTGGTCATACGGCATTTGACTATTTTTTTGTCATTACGGGCTTGCCCAAATACGGGCATATACGGTTTCCTCTCTTGGCTCAATAGGGTACCATATTCGGGTGTTGCAACGCAGTATTCGCACTAGTATGTTGGAATATGGTTACGGCCTTTTTTTCAATAACATATTGAAAAAATACTAGTATCATACAGGTACCCCCAAATATGCATGCAAATATGGCCAGTATACGGCCATATTTGTATACAGTTCCCATTCTTCAACATGGAGTCCTCCAGAGAGATGTCCGTGCCCACATACGGCATATGCACAAAAAAAGCGGTCAATACGGCTTGAGGCCATAGTCATCAAACAACAATGATCATACGGGTTTCCAGTAGGTGTATATATATACATATGTGTGTTGACGTTTTCAGAATTGTTATCGTTTTTTTCCGCGTTTTGCTATTTTGGCTTGCTCTAAATTCAACCTGTGTTGCTCTTTGGCCTTTCTGAATTGGTTGTGGGCTAGAGTGATGCAGTGATGCAGTTCGTCAGGCTTTTCTCGTACGGCATTTCGCTGTTGGGACCCTTTTGTTCAATGTCTTTCTGCTTGGTTCCCTGTAGACGACGCACCCTGGTGACTGGCATCATGGCAACCTGGGACATTTCAGATGATTTGGGACCTTCGTTGGTGCTGAGGAATGGGATCAGATGCTCTCGGTGCTGCGCACGCTCTTCGTGCGGCTTTTTGAAGGTCCCTTGCTGGTCAACACCAAGACTGTGGAGCAGAAGCTGCCCGCGGATGACAGCTTCACGAAGGACGGAAAGGGTCTTTAGGAGCGACCATGTAGACTCCGGCCCACGATTCACCAGGAGAACAAGGCTCGCGAAAGCGTGCAGATGGATCTGATGGTCGACCACTGGCCAAGTTTGCTCTCGCACGGATGCAGCGAAGAGGAGTCCTTTGGTGTGAGATACTGTTGTAACCTCTGGCGACTTAAGAAGGGATATGTGGCGACCCAGCGGCCGGGTAGCTCCAGCACGAATAGGTTGAATAATGGGACTAGGAGTGAGTAGATGTCTATTGATACTTGCGGGAAAGGAGGTGACAAAGCATAAGGCACGATTGTGCAGAGGAATCTGGTCTGAGTGTGACCGGCGTCATGAAATACATTGAAATACAATTTTGTGCCGCTGGGTCATGGTTTTCATCATGTTTTGTTTTTTCATATTGAAGCATGCTAAAGCTTGTGACATGACAGCCACTTGGTACAGACATTAACGTGGAAGGGAGTCTGGCACACAAACTGCCATTGCAAGGTCAAATGAGCTTTTCAAGAGATGCCCCGAGACTTGGCTTTGGAGTGTTCACGGGAGATGTTTGGCATCGTGGAGTGCAGATGGCTAGCCATACGTGGTCAAAGCTGGTTGGCAAACTTACCTGCGCATGAAGCAAAGGGGCCATCGCCATCATAACCCAGCTTCCCTTTAGTTATAGTTCCATAATGGAACACTAGCCACTAGCGACTAGCGACTGTGATCTCGAGGAGAAGTGGAAAGTGAAATTGGCTCAGAAGTTGATCGACTCCTGGTGGGCCCGGTACGAAGAAGAGTCGGTCCGCGACAGCAAGCAGGCTCACAAGGACCTTTTGTATAGGATTCCCTTTAGCAGAGGTGTATTAGAAAGGGAAGGCTCGGAAAGCAGGCGTATTGTTTCCTTGGCTTCACCAGATTTCCTTGCCACTTTTTAGAGGATGAGATGTGAAGTTTCAATTTTTCCAGCACATCATTTGGGATGGCAAGGCGGCTTTCCAGCAAGAACGCCCTGATGGAGGCTGGCAACATTCTGGTGGCAAGAAGGTCTCTGAGATTGTTGTGCCTTGGCATGGCCAGGCTCGTACATGCTATATAACGCATTGATGACACAGTTGACGACACAAGGGGTAAGAGCACGGTGCTTGTGGCATCGTTCCGGTGATTGTTGCAAGGTAGCTCCAATATTCTATAGATGTCTAGTAGAAGTCTGCGAGATTCAAGGATGTCGGTTTATGCAGAACTTGCCACTTGCCTTTCACAATGTTTGAGAATAACTGAATGTGGACACACCAAACCAGATCAAACAAGCATACAAACAAACACACCACAGGCAATGTGATATTTCTCCATCTCCCTCAATTGCATCGCTTCTCCAGCGGCAAGGTCGGCTCCATCGTGAGCGGCACCGTGACGAACAGCTCAAACACCTTTGGTGTCTATGTGAACTTCGGCTGTGAGAAGGATGGGAAGCTTTCGGTACCACAGACCGACTGGAAGAAGTACAGGGTGGGCGACAAGGTGGATCGCATGGTGGTGAACAAAGTGAACGTCGAAGCTTGGCCGGCTGACTCGTGCAGCCGAGAAAGACGCAAAAAGCTTTCGTGGCTTACATGTTGTTGGCTTCAGGAAGGACGTCCATAAAGCTGAAGCAGGTGAGGTTTCTTATGTAGCTGCGACTGCGACCAACGAACTTTCGTTTTATGATGGCCCCCCCATTCATAGGAGGTCGCAGTGTTCGATTTCATGCCCATCCAGTCGTTTTGGCTCCCACAACTCGGATGAACCGATTGAGGACAGGAAGTTCGTGGACTTGCTGGTGGTCGGCTCGAAGGGGCAAACAGTTGGCTTGGAAGCCTCCAAGAAGGCGACTTGCCACGGAGAGTCACGTGTTCTATCAAGTTTTTCGCCTGCAAAAGCTAGGTTCAAACGGGCCCCCCTAATTCTTGAGATTGATAAATGACCCAGAAAGATCAAGTACTGCTCGTAGTTGGGGATGCCACATACATGAGTCATCCATGGTCATCCAACATGCATTTCTCCGGTGCGTCAAGTCCTTGGGTCATCATCCAACATCCTTACGGACGTCAGTCCTTGGCATGGTCATGTGCGGGGAAGGCCCAGTTGTGTTTCAACCTCTGAACGCCTCGTCTCTTGGCATCGAGTCCAGGTGGCTCAGAGAGCATTGAGCTGGATCTCTGGTAATTCTGAGCTGAGGAGCACCTTCATGGCTGCTAGGACTGAAGACTAATCGTGCACGACCTTTTTGCGTTGAGCAAAACCAGCCATGTACGTTCTTATAGAATCTTATATCTAACTAATATAACTCTCCTGAAACACCGAGGCGAGCTTTTCAGGTGCCAAATTCTCCATCACTTCGAAGTCAGCTTGCTTAACCCAACTGGACAACTTGTTTTTGAGTTTTTTTGAGTGTGTGTGAGTCTTGGACTTTTGACTCATTGAGATTCTATATACTGGTCGTACTGGTCCTTTTGTGTATAGGAAGTGCACCAAGTTGGCTTGAAGAAACACGTTCATACAGAGGTTGCTCCTCCCTCTCTCTCTCTCTCTCGCTTCGTTTGTTACCCCACAGGGATTGCTCTTGGCTTTTGCCTGATACGCCCTTCTTTTGAATGTTGTTTCGTTCTAAGATTCGCAGGGCCTTTCCTACTTGTGAGTGGTGTCCACTCATGACCACCGTAGAACATCAATGGCATCAACCTCCAAGATTGAGATGGCTGTGCGAGAAATTAGTTCCTTCCATCACTGAAGCAGCTGCCATTGGCTGCATCATAGCGGAGCCAAGGTTACCTTGCAGAAGATGTTAGCCAAGCTCATTGTGGCCGATTCTCGCCTTGAAGAAAGGGCTATGCTGAGTGTTCAGGGACTTGCATCACAAGAACGGCCGCAAATTTTACGCTGATAACTTACCGTGGCTGCACATGACAGGAGGATTGCCAATGGTTGCAAGTGGGACTACACAGTTTCTTTCACATCATGATCACCACAACCAGAGAAACCGCCTTCCACCCATCCACCAGACGTTTTCAATCTTTTTTCATATCTTTTTGATCTTTCATCCTTTTCTCATTCGAAGCTGGTCGCCGAGGGCACGGGCGAAGAGTTCGAAACCAGCCTCCGTCTCCTAGGGCCAGCTTTGGACGCCAAAGAGCTGCTCGGACAGACGGGCAGAGCGAACGACTGGGCGGGACCTTATCTGCGGGGGACTTTGAGGGGCTCCAGGCGGAAGGGGTGACATGGCATGTGCATGTGTTATGATTTGGCACCGGAAAGCCAAACAAGTGCCAAAGTCATCCAAAGCCGTCCAAAGTCTTCGGCGTGTCCCCTCGCTCTCGCCCAGAAGCGTGCGCTTGGTGCAGCTGGTCTTGGATCAGAAGCCTGCCTCTGCATTGGTTCGTGTAGTGCTCTTGTGGCTCAGCAGGAGTGATCCATATGCTTGTGAAGCTTTTGGTTCAGATGGTCGACTTGGGAGGATGTGAAATCATTGTAGGTGTGAAGTTCAGTCAAGACCCCAAGAGGAACCCCAGCACTTGAGTCAAATGATCCGACGCCGTCGCGGCACAAGGTGCGCACAGAGCCGAATCGCATTTGCAAAAGGGCCGCGTCCTTTCTTTCAGCTAGGTACATGGTTTGCACGTATCTTGCTTAGTTGGCACCGGAGCCTACGTTGAGTTGATGTTGGACTCGCTTCCTGGCGGCTGGACTCAGTCCGAGCTTGACGCTTTAGAGGAGGAGCTTCACATTGACTCCGATCCAGGTGCGGCATCGAGCATTGCAAGTCGAGACAATCCTTGGCGGTGCCTTCGATGCAACTCGGCACGTTGGAGGGAAGTTTCAGCCACTTCATTTGTTTGCGTGCGTTGCCAATACAATCAGTTCTATCATGTTGAGCAGCCGACACGACAGCAGACAGTTGATGGTACTTGGCTATACCTTCCCAGCACCGACAGTGCACCCATCGGCAGCCTCTCCTCAGCGCAGCTCCGGAGGCAGTCGGTTGACCCGCTGGCTGAAGATGTTCCTTCACCACCGGATCCCGCAGCGGAGCACCCTGAGAGTGAGGAACCGACGGATGACCCGTCTCTTGTCGCTTCATCCCGGTATGATTGGCCCGTTGACCCACCAGAGCAGTCCGGTTCGAGTTCATCCAGGTCGAGGAGGCGACGCAGACGAGGTAACACCACTGCGCAACAGAATGATTCACAGCATGATACTCCCGATGCACCTTCTCCTTCACAGGTGCCCTTGCGACTGCCTACATCGTCGAAGACGAGGCCTGACGGACAGTCAGAGTTGGTACAAGCATTGAAGCAAGTGTTGGAGGAGCGTCGCAATGACTCGGCTTCTGACAAGAGTTGGAATTCGAGGAAAGGTCCAGCCCCAGGGCTGAAGTGGAGAGGTGGCACACCGCCGCAGCCACCCAAGTGGCAATACCATGCATCGGACCTTCGTGCATTTGCAAAGTACGAACGTCGAGTGCAGGTTTGGCAGATGCAGGTACAGCACTATCTCACTGGTGCTGAAGCTGGCTTGATGTTGTTCAGCTCCCTCACGGGAGAACCGGAGGCCGAAGCAGAGCACATGGAGCTGGAAAAAGTGAACGCCAAGGATGGTGTCAGCTACATTCTTGGTTGTTTGAAGGGCCCATTGGAACAGAAGTTGTTGTATCAGAAGCGCATGTTGCTTTCCAACTACGAGTCCATCACCCGCGAGAGCCACGAGTCGATTCGACAGTTCATAAACAGATATAAGCGTGTTGAGCGTGATTTGCAAACAGTCGGGATCAGTTCAGCAGCGATGTACGATTCAGAGTCGCGTGGCAACAGGTTGTTGGAGCGTTGCAAGTTGGATCCACAGCTTCAAAGGTTGGTACTCATCGGTGCTCACAGCAGTCTGCAGTTTGATGCAATTGTTGAGAGTTTGCAGCTTCAATTTCCAGATTTCAGGCCAACTCCACCGGTGTTCCAATCAGGTGGATGGAGACCAAGCAGTTCCGGCAGCTCCTCGTACAAAGGTAGCAACTACCCCAAGTCGATGGCTTCCACGTCAGCCTCAAGCTCAGCGTCGACCTTGCCATCGTCCGCCTCTGCATACAACCGAGGCAAAGGGGGTAAAGGACCCCGCCGTGTCTTCCAGACTGAGGTTGCGGACACGGGAGATGCAGATGTGGTCGAGGCCTATGCGGCCGAAGATCTGGCTGACGAGCAGCCAGAGGAGTTTTTTCGAGACCATCGAGGAGAACCTCGATGAAGACAACGAAGAAAACGCACAAGATGGTGAGGCACCAGATGATGACCTGGACGCTTCACTACAGGACCTTGCACAGGTGCTCTCGGTTACTTCGAAGAAGTTGCAGGCCACCGTGTTGGGCAGAAAGTTCACTGGACGCAAGTCCATAGATGAGCGGAAGCGGACTTCAACATGTTCCGCTTGTGGTGCAATCGGCCACTGGGCTGGAGATGCAGCATGTTCAGTTTCTGCGTCAACCAAAGGTTCAAGCAAAGGTGGCAAAAAGGGGAAAGACAAGCATGGTGGGAAGGACAAGTCGGGTGGACAACCTTCCTCCTCGTCGACTACCACGACACCCAAAAAGGCATTCGTAGTCAGCTACGGTGAAGAGTACCCTGGTGAAGATCTTGGCCATGATATGTTCCTCAACTACCCCACCAGTTTCGTTGACTCGGTTCACAGCCCCTTCGTCTACGTCGCCCAGACAATCGATTTGGGCGGTTACATGGTTTTGGACACCGCATGTCAGAGGTCATGCGCAGGCCAACGGTGGATGCAGACACATGCACGTTTGTTGGACAACCATGGTATGGGTTTTCATCGTGAAGAATGTCACGATCGATTTCAGTTCGGTGCAGGATCAACTCAGCAAGCTGCCGAGCGATGCCTCTTCCCGGCCAGTTTTGCAGGCCAGGAGACTCAGGGCATCATTTTTGGTGTGAGCATTTTGCCGCTGTCGATTCCGTTTTTGGCAAGCAGAGTGTTGCTAGAGCAGCTTGGGTGTGTTATCGATTTGCATCAGGGCATATTGCACATGTCAACCATTGGTGTTACATTGCCGTTAGTCAAGAAGCATGGACATTTGGTTGTGAACATCACCTCATTTCCACCACGTTGTCATCAGTTGTTGTGTTGGAAAGAGCTTGCAGAAGATCGTTTTTGGACGCAGCCTTGTCCTGAGCTCGTGCTTCATCCTGAAGCCGTTCATGCTCCCAGTGGCTCACATTACGACCGGGTGAATGCACTCTACACGCCAACCACCCGAATGGCTCAGCCGCTGGCGCACGATCCTGTTGAGGATCCTTCTCCTCGAGTTCAACGCCCTCAGAGCCATGAGCAGGCTGGTCAGGATCGGCGTTCGGCCTCGATCTTGGTTGACAGCCCGCGAGACACAGGAGCTGAAGGAGATGCAGAGTCGAGCCAAGAAGACCTGCACACATCCCAGCTTCCGTCGGTATGGCAATGCTCACGGCAGGTTCACAGAGTGCCTGAGGTGCGAAGCAAAGTTCCGTTGGATGCAGGACCAAGAAGGCTGGGTGGAGTATTCGCCAAAGTCTTCCAGCTCATCGGCGCTGTGCCGTCCTCAGCCAGTATCCTGACTCCCAAGGACTTGGCGCCCAAGACGAAGGGCACGAGCAGCAAAAGCAAGCCCAAGGCAGCATCCACACCTCAGAGAACCTACAGGACATCCTCCATGGGCACCAGGTCGCCGTCTGTCCACAGGATGGACAGCGGGGATGGTTACCGGGGCACCGGATACAGCCGGGAGGAGTTCGAGGAGATCATGTCCTCGATGGGGTCAGAAGCATTCCCACCAAGCTCGGATGGCGGCAGGGACGGCTATCCGGACGAGGAGTGGGATTGGTGAACGATGACCTCGAAGAACACGATCACTGGGAGACTTTCAAGAACCAGTGCATTCGTTACCACCGGAACCCCAGACTCCTACTGTTGGACCTACAGCACCACCAATGCCCAGTTCCAAAGCACCTCTTGGCACCACACTGCACAGCTGAGGTCACATATGAGGATGGCTCAACCGAGTCCATCACCTATGAGTGGAACAACACACCGACCAAGCAGCTCCACCGGCCGTGGACAGGACGCACCATCTTTACAGTGCAGACACCAGCCACTTCCACTCAGAGATTCCTCAGCAATGCAGCCAGACGAACACTCCGAAACAATGTGAGGCAAGCGTACCACATCTACCACATCGAACATGTCCTGGCAGGACAAGTTGTTGATGATTTTGACAAGTTCCACAACAAGAGGGCAGTCCGCCCCAGGGTTGATGTCTTGGAAACCTTTGCTGGCGCAGCCAACATCACTCGGCGATGCCAGAAGTTTCACTTGTCAGCTGCCAGTCCCATTGATTTCAATACCGGATGGGACCTTCGCAAAGCTGCAGACCAAGACCAAGTCGACGGCATTCTTGATGAAATGAGACCGTTGATACTCATCCAAGGCATCGACTGCAAGGACTGGTGTCTCTTGCAAGACAATTGCAACTACGTCCACAGGAAGATCTTACTCTTGATGAGAAGAGCCAAGGCCAGAGCCATGCTTCGCAAGACAACCAGCTGGTGCAAGAAGCAAGCACTTGCAGGACGACTCTTCCTCATCGAGAACCCCATCACCAGCCGTCTATGGCTCGAACCGGCCATCCAACGACTACAACAATTGCCCAACGTGACATCCGTCGCATGCCATGCCGGTGCATACGGAGCCACGAACAGCCAAGGCCAGATGATCCGTAAGGGACACCGGTTCATGGGCAACTGCCAGCACGTTCTGGCAAGGCTTCAAAGGAAGCTTTCTCCTGAACAACGTCTTTGTGTTCCACTGGAGGGAAAAGAGACCACTCGTTCACAAGAGTATCCTCCAGGCATGGTGACTGAGATCCTGCGAGGGATCCAAGAAGAAGTGATCAACCGCTTTCCAGATCGCTTCCAAAATCACCACGGCAAACCAGCCACGGTCTACATGACCACTTCCATTGAGGCCTGGAATGAAGCACTAGACATGGCAAATTCCACCTTCCAGGTCACACGCTACAAGCAGTTCGTCCTCCCAGTGTCGGACCCACTCTTCAAGAAGGCTTGGGAACTGACCGAATGGAACCACATGGAACGTGTCCAGATTGCATGGCAGCCCATCACATGGCGATTCCCAACACACGTTCCACACACACATCGAGCCGCAGCCATGCGATACACAGACGGCACGATGGAGGTCATTGAAGAAGACCTTGGCAAACTCAGGCACCCACGGGCTCGCTTCACCAAGCCCGTACAATTGGCCATCTTCATGTTCGGTCAGAACAGTGCCGAAGCGGAGGTCACGCCATCTTACAAGCGACCTCGAGCAGATCCAAGCCCAGGAACTCAAGATCCACAGCAGTTTCAACCTCAGGAACTACATCCCTTACAGGCTCAAGAAGATGATCCATTGCGGCTTGTGAGGAAAGATGATGATGAGATTACCTTTCTGCCAGAGCTCAAGCTGACGGCTGAGATCAAGCTGGCGGTCAAAAGGATGCATAAGAACCTGGGTCACCCTCGAGCAGCAGAGCTGAAGAAGCTGCTCGCACTGAATGGCGTGAGCAATCAGGCCATTTACAGTGCAGTTGAGGGGATGAAGTGCAACTCGTGCGAACGCACGAAAGGACCAGCCCGACCTGACCCAGGCGGAGGACTTCCAGACCAAACAGCTTCCCGGTTTGGTGACCGGCTCTAAATGGACATCATCTATGTGCGAGATGTCAAAGGTACCAACTTCCTGGTACTCGGCATCATCGACGAAGTCACACACCTTCATGTCGGCACCTTGCTGGCCAACCGAACACCAGAGGAAGTCACCAAGAAGTTCATGCTTGCACGGGCTCGTCCATTTGGCTTCCCTCTCAGGCTTCGAACCGACCCAGACGGTTCCTTCCGCTCCACCTTCGAAGATGCCATGGACGAAGCTGGAGTGTATGTCGACTACATTCCAGCAGAGGCACACAACAAGATAGGATTGGTGGAGAGGCACAATGCCACGTACCGCTCACTGATGGAGCGCATCGTGGACGCTCAAGGCGTGATTGGCTACGACCAGATGGACATAGTCACAGCCATGGCATCTCACGCCAAGAACAGCTGCACTTGGTCGACTGGCAGACCACCATATGTGGCGGCGTTTGGCCGCATTCCAAGACAAGGCCTTGAACTCCTGAGCGGCCCACACGGCCTCATCACAGGCCAGACCAGGTCACAAGCACAACAGTTCGCAGACACCATACGAGCTGAAGCTGGCCGCCATGTCCATCGACAGCACACTGCGAAGAGCACTACTTCGCAACACCACTCCGGGTCCATCAGACATCCCGGAGATTGGAAGCACAGTCGCCTACTGGCGATGGACAGCCCGCAGCGGCAAGAAAAGGGGAGGCTACAAGCTGGCAAGACTCCTCGGAAGAGACCCAGATGGCAAGAGTCTCTGGCTCCAGGCCGGCACGAACACCATCCGTGTCGCACCACACCAGCTCAGGACCGCAAGAGGCTTTGAGTGCTGGAACCCAGACTATGAGCAGATTAAGCAACTTCGAGCTGCAGCAGACAACCTCCAACATGGCATCCTACAGGGTGAAAGCATTCCAGAACCACCAGAGGATCCAGAACAACCTTTGGGACATGACCAGCTTGAAGCAGTACCAGATCTGCCGGCGCCAGACATACCTTATCTAGTACCACCGTCCGAACCAGCGACCGCAGCAGCAGACCAAGCAGAAGAGGCAGCGCAAACCGATCCATATGAGCCGCATCCACAGAACACATCAGTTGAGTACCATCTCAACGTGCACTCACCCACATACAACAAGACAGTGATCCAGTCACAACACAGCTTCGGCATGACACCTGAGCAATGGATGCAGCCTCCAGTCAACGCACCAGTGCGAAAACAACACCGGTCTCGTACCCCAGCATCCAGGACTCCCAGATCCATTCGAGGCCAACCCACAACACCAGCATTGGGCGATGCTGCAGGACAAGCTGCAGCAACTACACCGGCGCAACCTCTTCTGCCACCTCAAGAACAGGCTGATCAAACACCAGCACATACACCAGGTCTACCATCTGTGATGCCCGAAGTCATCGACATAGAAGCCATGCCAGACACACAGGATCCGGCGCTCGGATCCATTGTGCCTACAACACCTCCGGAACTTGCCGGAGACACGCCAAGCAACAAGAGAGCAAGCACAGAGATGGAACAACCGATTCCGTCACAACCGTCCTACAAAGCACTACTGCAGCAGCACACCAAGCAGCAGCAGATCGACCAGGACACATACCACTTGCACGGCTATAAAAACATGGCAAAAGCAGCAGACCACACACTACAGGTCTGGGCACGTCGAGACACAGCAGCACAGGTCTTGCAGACCACACATTTTTGTGGACCGCCCAAATGGTCCATCAAGCACAGACGGGTG